CCGTGGAGCAGGGAGAGACGTCCCGTCTTCCGGCTGCCATCTGCTTGAATCGTGGACTGTGAAATGTTTGCTTTTACTTTTGCTTCCAGGGCATTGTTAGAGTGTTTTTTGTTCATCAAAGGTGGCAACAACCTCCACCATTTAAAAACATTTGTCCCGTGTGCCACCTGGGCAGCACGCCCTGGGGTCGCCTTCCCGCAGCTTTGCATTAACCACTGACCTGCGCTCGTCTCGCTCTTGGCGCTGGTGAGCGGTTCGCAGCTTTTTCCCCGTTTCCAGGTCCCTCTCCGAGGTGTGCGCTTCGGGCTTTTGCTGCTCTGGTGTTTTCCAGTATCAGCTTGTGAATGTGGCGTACCGGACAGCACCGGCGTTTGTTTCTTCTGCCGCAGACCCTGGTGTTGCTCTCCCGTTGTGATGGGCTTCCCTCCGTTTTGAGTCCTGGAGCGCTGGCAGTCGTGCAGGCTCCTGCGGTTGTCCGCTGGTGAAGTCGAGCAGGCTCTCGGCAGATGGTCAGAGCTGTCAAGCCATGCAGGAAACCTTCCCCTAATTCTCGTTGTTGTGACACGGTTTGTTTTCTTTTACGGATTCCTTGCCCAATAGCGTCTTTGTCAAATGTGGTGACTCCAAGGCATTCGGTCCTAGTAGTGGATCTGTTGGTGCTGTTATTACACTCTGGGGTTTTTTTTTGTTTGTTTGGTTGGTTTTTTTTGTGGTTACATTTAACGTGTTGTTATTCAACTGAGGATGCCTGCCATATCCTTGCTTATCTCACTAGTCCATAGTCCACCCGGGACCTAGCCTTAGAGATTTAATATTAACTGCAGTGTTCCTAGCTCTTATTAAGACACAGTGCTGTTATGTTTCCCGTGGTGGTCCCTCCTCCCAAAGCCGGCTGAGCAGGTGGCAGTCTTGTTTATTTGCTTGAAAAGAGTGAATTCCTAGCCTTGATGGTTTGCCCCGCAGCCTCTCAAAAACTTGGAAACCAGCAGGCAAAAGAACCTCCCTTTCACTCTCAAAAATAATCCCCATTCCTTTGATGTCTGCACTTGGCACCCAGGCTTCTGTACCACTTACGTTTGGGGTTGGCAGCTCTGTCCTTAAACCAAGGGATGATGTGAATCTCCTGGCACCGTTCTGGGAGGGAGCTCGGTCCACAGCTACCCGTGTTAGCCCTGCTGGGGGGCAGGTAAGGGGCGATGCTGGCTGGAGACCCGGCAGAGGGTCCTGCACCTGGGGAGGAACAACCCCGTGCACCAGTACAGCCTTGGGGTGGACCTGCTGGAGAGCAGCTCTGTGGAGAGGGACCTGGGTGTCCTGGTGGACGACAGGGTGACCATGAGCCAGCAGTGTGCCCTGGCTGCCAAG